TAAAAAAAAAAAAAAAAAAAACAGTGATAAATGCATTATGATTTTGCGTAACACATAAAATAGTCAATCTTATATTGTAACTATAGCAATAATGCTTACTTGTATCAAAGTATTTACATCGACGTGGGCGGATCATTTCCTGCACATCTTGAGAAGCAACAGATTGTGATGGGTCCTCATTGGAAGACTGAGTTTCATCCTCCTGCCCTGATGAGTCCTTTATGTTCTCCTCCTGTCAGACAGTAAGTTACACTTGGGTAAGGGGTAAAGGACATCACCACAGACGTGAGCTCCGTGCTGGCTCTTGGAAGAGGAAAAGACATCAGCAGAAAAACTGGTGAAGTCCAAACAGTTTGGTTAATAGTATATTAGTGTTGACTTCTTAAGTTTTGACGAAGAGTGCATGGTTACTTAAGCTGTAATTGTTAGGGGATAGTGAGTGAATATACGGTTTTCTGTAGCAACTCTGAAACTCTTTTAACATCTAAAATTATTTCAAAGTAAAATAAGAAAAAATGAATACAAAACTGCCAGTCAGCTCTTACTGTCTTAAATAGTAATTTCAAAAATGCTTTTGTAAGGGGCAGGGAGATGGCTCAGCAACATAAGTGCCTACCTGGCAAGGGCAAGGTCATGAGTTTGATCCCCGGTACCGTAAAACAACACCACCCTCCCAAAAGGGAGCTTTTATAAACTAACTGGAAAAGCAATGAGAAGAAATCTAGAATGACACAGACCAAACTGTTACATCTCAGAAGTAGACCGCGTTTCTGTAGTACCTTAATTTTCCATTTAATCTCTTACTGTATTTAACTTATAAATTATACTGTGATTTTAGTCATTCACTATAAGTCTTGGGACATACAAGGTGTGATAGAAATCCAGTGTAAATGCTTAAATTAAAAAAATTCCTTACAGTGAAAGACACACTGCAATTAATTTCCCCCAAATTAATCATCCTCACGAGAACACACTTAGCCCACCATGTCAGCCACTTCCTGCACAGCTCTGGCATCCTCTCTCCTGAGTGTCTTCAGCTGTGCTGTCCTGGGCGCTTCAGTGTCCCAGATTGATTCAGAAGGTCTCTCTTTCACCTTCACTTTGACTTTGGGGAGGAGTGGGAAGGTGCACAGAGGCAGATCCAGTGAATAAAGTGGATGAGGACACAGGTCACAAGTCTGCCTTTCTGTTGGTTGGCACTTGGCAGTAGCAGTCGCTGTATTTTTGACCACACTTGCACAGACACTTGAAACAAGACTTTCAAAGCTGCTTCAGAAAGTAGAGGAAGAATGGGAAGCAGGGGGAGTGTCTTGAGGGATTCACAGTAATGTGTCTTTGACTACAGGAAACTTATTCATTTACTTAGTTTTTTGAGGCAGGGTCTCACTCTATAATAAGTAGCCCAGGCTGGCCTCAAACTTGTGGTGATCCCCCTGCCTCAGGCTCCCAAGTGTTGGGATCAAAGGCATGAGCCACCAGGCCTATTAATTTTAAATTTTTAAAATTTAAGTAATCACCTATTTTGATTACCCACTGTCTAGGCTCCGTGGCTGGAGGCTGAACTATTATTGTATGCGTGTGTGACCTTACTTTGTTCTCCCCACTGCAGCCACTGTGGTCATCGTGGTCGGGGTCTTCATCATCTTCACCCTCCTCTTCTTCCTCTTCTTCCTCCTCATCTTCCTCAGGCAGTCGGACAGTACTATCATAACCATAAAGGCTGAGAAGTTCATGGATTGGCATGTCGCCTTCCTAAACAGACCAAAACAAAAGTCAATTTTTTTAAAATCAGTGATTGCATAGCTCTAGGCTATAATTCATAAATCTAGTCACTATAGACTTAAAAATGTTCACAAATTTTTGAACTATACAAAGTAAAAAACAAAGTATTTTTGAAAACTAAGAACATGCCAGTCTTTTAAATATTTCTATAAAACTGACCAACTTTAATTATTAACAACTCTGTTCAAGTATAATAAAAGTGACATTTATCTAAGACTACTTTCTGCACTCAGTCCAGTATATGTACAATGACAGCCAATTAGAACTTACATATGAATTAACTACTAACTAAATGAACCATATTGATTAATTTGGAACAAGCAGAACTAGGAAAATAGGTTTTCAACTAAGTTAATAAACCCAGAAAGAAATGGAATTCATAGCCTGGCCGCATCACACTGAGAAGCATCAATGATTCACAGGATGACGCTGCATCGCAGGCTTTATACCCGTAAGGCCAACTGGAAAATCACCTCCCACTGCTGCTACCATCCATGCCAGAGCTCTTCTCGTTTCATGGAGAAGGAAACACAGATTACTTCGCTCACAAGCCACAAAAGTTACAGTACGGAGCCAACTCAAATCATCTGACTCCAAGAGTCATTATCCAAAGAGTGCAAGTGCCTCAGCCCTGGATCCTCTGCGAATGCCCCCATCAGATGACATGGACAGATGCCCTCTGCAGTGAGACGAAGTAAGCTTTCTGGGGAAGGAACGCTAATCATCAGTGGAGTCGTATGAAATATCAGGAAAGCATCTCAGAAATTCCAATCATTTGAACACATTGGACACACAAGATACATACATGTATGCTCTAAAAAACCCACAGAAATGTTAGTTTAGAAGCTAAAAAATGCTACTCCTGACACTGTTCTGCATTGCTTTAGCATGCTATGCCTTGTTTTGGGGCAGAAGTAAGTCTAGTCCACATGTTAATCACACTGCCACTATGCACAGTGGCATACTGCACCGGAGAACAAGCTGATGACATATCATATGTGATGACAAAAATCACTTCACTCAGAACCCATGAGCAAGAAACAACCTAATGATTACAATATGCACTGTTTTAACAGGAAGAATGTGTCACCTAATACTTTTCTTAACCACTGTAAACGGATAGTTCTGAATCAATGTGGGAACCACCTCTGAAAGAAATCAATTCCGAGAAACCTCATCACCTGTGGCTCTGATCTGACAAATGGTAACACATCAGGCATAGTACTGGCGCTCCAGCTGAATGACCAGCAGACACTCCTCGCCCCTGGTTCTCACACCCCCCCAGGAGCACAACACAGGGTCCTGAAGTGCTCAGGGGCATGGACTGCCGAGAGCTGGCCCACGTGCACATGGTGGAAGACACTGAAATCCTGGAACAAGGAGTCAGTACTTTAGAAATAAAACAGAACTGCAAAATCAAGAGAAGCAGAGTTAAGAGAAAGACACAGGGAAGTCTTGCTCTATACACAGCAACAAAGAGCTGTCATGAAGCATCTCTTGCATGGCACATTTGTGTTCCACACTTTGTTCAGTTTTTTTCTCCTAAAAATGAAAGCAGAGCCAAAACAGAATCTCACCAGACCTTAAAAGTACTAGATAGGATTGCCTGTGTTCATTTGCTACTTTCATCTGCAAATAAGGAAATCACCAGGGAGAAACATCATGTACTGACAGACTTCAATGTGATGCTTAGGCCTAGTTCTGATTCGAGTAACTCCCTCAGACTCATCCTGCATTCCAAGCCACCAACAGGCTCAGCCCGATGGCCTTGCCTTGAGTGAAAGCCCCGGCCACAATCCCCAGTGTGCAGAGGACACAGACCAGGAGAACATCCATAGTCATTTAAAACTCACATGTGCACTGGCCCCAAGAACTGATGGTAAGCTTGTTCCACAGTCTACCTTTGAAACAATCCTAATGTATGTTACTATGACCTTTGATTTACTTCATTTGAGATAAGGTTTTGTTATGTGGCTCATGTTGGCCTACAATCCTCAACCATGCTTTAGCTTTGTAAATGGCTGGGATTACAGGAGATGCCACTACACCCAGTTACTTCCAACTTCCACAGTGCTGGGAGAAACCACGTAACTATTTAAATGGCAGTGTTCTATTTTGACTTTGTCTTCTCATTACACCAAGGCATTTGGTCTGCTCTAAGAAACCACGCAAATTATTAATCCAATAAATGTTTTCTAGTGTCGGCCTGTTATTTAAGGACAGTAAAACAACTTTAAAGCTTTATTTTAAAAAAGTGCTGGGGGGCTAGGGAGATGATAGTTCAGCAGTCTAAGTGACTCCAGTCTCTGGTACCACATTCTGTGTGGGCCACTGAAACTGGTTGTCGTGACAAATGCCTGTAATCCCAGCACTGGGGAGGTTGAGACAGGAGGATCACTACAAGTCCAAGCTACATATCGAGACCCTATACCAAATACATACATATACGTACATGCATACATACATCTTTTAAAAAGTGCTGGCCTCACCTTGGAGCCCATGACCTAACAGGTCTCAGGTAATGCTGCTGGTAATAGTGGAGGGCCCCCTGAAGAACATACCACTAGGCTGGAGAAATAGCTCAACACCTGCCTGGTAAGCCCAAGGACCCAGGTTCAATCTCCAGTACAACATACTGTTCTACCCCAGAAACCTGAATGTGCCATGCTGGCCACCAAAACCAGGTATTGTGGTGCATGCCTGTAATCCCAGCACTGGGGAGGCTGAGACAGAGGAGGATCACTAGGAGTCTGAGCTAGGGAGTGAGACCCTGTACCAAATAAATAAACAGATTTTTTTTTTTTTTTTTTTTTTAACAGTGAAAAAGAAAAAACATATACTACACACACCACTGACAAAGTCTATGGTAAAATACCCATACCAGGAAAAGGTTATCCACACAACGGAACATTATTTGGTCGTGTAAAACACTGAAATCCTGTCATCTGCAGTAACACAGATGGAAGTAGAGATCATTAAGTAAAACAAAGATGAACAACAGTTCTCACTACTCTAGACAAGTATGTTAACCTTGTAGAAAATCAGAAATCAGTGGCCCCTAGAGACAGCAAAGCGTAGGGGATGAGGCAGCATGGGTGACTCTTGGCTCTACCACAGCAGAGCAACTACTGCTTAACATGATCTACATTTCAAAATTACTGTAAGAGTACAAAGATGATTAATGCTGCAGGAGGTGGAAGGACTTGGTGTGATTTGATTAGCATCACACATTGTACACAGGGCAGTGGATGACCATGTTTACCCACAGAGAAAGGCATGAGGCAGCTAGGGGTGTGGACTCATTTCTACTGTATTCAGACATAGATGTACACAGCAGCCTGTGTCTTTTGCAATCAGTTTGTGGTGCTTTTCGTCAGCTTCCTTCATTCTCTTAGCAAAACTTAGCAAACTTTATTGCCTCTTCCTTTTAATATACTGTTTCTTCAGAGTAATTTGCTGGTATTTGTGTTATAGAACACATGGAAAACGTACTAAATCACTCTTTTTGTGAGTCTTACTATGCAGTTCAGGTGGGCCATGAACTCAGTCACTCTGCCTCAGCTTTCCAAGTGCTAGGATCACAGGTGTCCCTCACCACGCCTGACCCTTCTTGGGTGCTTTGCTACTGTTGTACTCCTTCTCTTGGGTGATTTGGAGACTGCAAAGTGTTCCAGTTCTGCTAGCTCTTTTGTATCCAGGTAATAGGGCACAGTGGTATCTGTCAGTCTAGGGACGTCCTTCTGTTATAACAGTCATGTCGGGAACACTTGGATTGGTAATCGCAATGCACGCCCAAACAGAGCTATACTTTTTGTGGCCAGTTCTTCTAGGTGAATAAGACTAATAATTTTCACTCAGTAGCAGGTGGCAAGGGGAGAGGAGAAGACACCCTACTTCACATTTTGTTTCTGTAATTTTAGCAATGGATGCTAAAGAAAGACACACAAACTGTCTCTGGCAGAGTCTGGAGACCTAGGGACTGAGAACTTCATGGGACAAAAGCTATCTGCAAAAAGGAAGCCAACAAGTAGAAAGCATAAAGGAAGGAAATGTGTTCTGGGCGGACATGCGTGCCTGACGCCTGGCCATATCGCCACGCTTAATGCAATCCCATGAGCCTTGCACTACATTTGTCCTTGTCCAGATGGACCGATCTTTGTGCTCTCCAGATTCTGATGTTATAAACATAGATAGTCTAGAAAGCAAACATTCTACTTTTCCTTCTGAAACAAAAACTGAAAGATGAGTAAAAGTTTGCTACCAGCATGGGGCTCTAACAGGGCCTGTCAGTCACCTTTTCTAGAGAACATCCCATTAGCTTATGTCATTAAACTCAGCCTTTGGAGAGGCTTCCTTCAAATTAAACTGAAACAACACAGTGAAGTAGCAGTGTTTTATTACCGTTCAAATGAATATTAAAAATGTAGAAAAAGGAGAGCAGAGAGAGACAACGATGTGCCAAGTCGTGGACTTTCACAGTACAGAGTATCTCTGAGGCACAGGTTTCTGACATCCAGAGAGTGGCTACTAAGATATAACGGTTGAGAGCCGAGGAGAGAGTTCAGCAGCTTAAGCTTCTGCCTGGCAAGCACAAGCTCCCAGTTTGATCCCCAGTATCACGTCCCGTGCTCACCCCACTCCGGTCCCATCGAGTGCTGCATATCAAGAACTGTACCAAATACAAGGTATAGAGGGGCTTCCTTCAACTTAAACTGAAACAGCACAATAAAGTAGCAGTGCTTTAAAAAACAAAAAACAAACAAAGTTTAGGTAATTTAGCAGGGAGCCAAGGTCCTCGCTTTGTGAACATCTTTAGAGTGTGCAAGAGGAGGGCATGAAGATGACATGAATGCACCAGTGGAGAGTGGCCTGCTTACAATATGAACAAGGAAGAGGCTTGTTCTCTCTCATTTTTGCCTCTTGTTTTTGCTGTCTTTGCCACCATGAAGTACCTGTGGCATGCCACACGG